CACTTAGCCTGAAAAAGATGAAGTGGCAAAACAAAAACAAAAAACAAAAACAAAAAAAAAAAGAAGCTACACGAAAAGCCTCATAAAAAAAATAACTCCCCACACTAAATTCGCAAGCAAAAGACAAAAAAAGAGACGGAATAGGCAGAAAACGGCAAAAAGAAAAAAAAACGAGTGCGTGGCATAAGAGCAAAAAGTATTATTCTTCGCTTTTCTCTTGTTATTATTATTCTTACTGCAGCAAAAAAATTATTATTACATTTTCATTAATTATTGTAATTTTCACCAACATTTTAATTTTTGTTATTATTAATTATCACTCTTTCCTTTGCAACTATTACTCTTTTGCCTTACTCGCTATTATTGTTGTTGTTGTTGTGATAATAATGAGAATAATAGCAGTAGTAAACGTCCGTGTTTCAAAAAGAAAAAACAACAACAAGTATACTTACACAGGGGGAGGGGGGGAAGCGAATACTTCACGGTTTTCTTCTCCCTAAGCAAAGATGAGGGACGCAAAACTAAAAACCCGTTCAGTGTTGTGCCGGCACATGATTATTAAATTCAATATCAAACACAAAAACCGAAGCGACTCCGGAAACTAAAATCGTCATTTACGGATTAAGTTTCAAAGTGCTAAAAGTGGCTTTCAAACCGCTTCTCGCGCCGGGCGGAGAGTGGTTGGGCAGGGGAAGTCTTCAAAAAAAAACGTTTTTGCTTAATATGAAAAGTAATAAATGAAATACGAAAGCTATTATACAATACCTTAAGCTTTTTATGCATAAACCACAGTTATTACTGGTGCAAATCGCAAAAGCAAAAACAAAAACAAGAATAAAGTTGAAGAATAGCACTCAAGTGGCCAACCGCCGCCGCAACGTTGGCAGGAGACCTGTGCCTGGAGAGGTGCAATCGATACACGCCTCAATAAGATGGGGAAATAGAGAAATAAAGCCTGCTGAACTTGAACTAGTACGACTTTGATACTCAATTCCCGGACAATAAAGAAAAAACAGAAACGCGGGAAATACGTCCCCCCTCTAATATTTTTTTAAAAAATGGCGTTATTATTTTGTGATTATTATTATTTTCTCGTTTTCCTTCCAATTCGGTTGAATAAAATTTCAGTTTCACTCCTTTTTTTTTTGTCACTTCCGCACAGAATATTCTACATTCGCGGCCGCGCAAGCAAAAAATAAAAAAAAATAACGCACAAGCGCGGCGACAAACAAAAAACGGCAAAATAAGAACAAACACGAGGTGTAAAGCATGCACAACCACACGCATTTCACTCTCGCTTCGCCCGACCCCCGCCACCACGCCGCGCCAACGCCGGCAAACAGGACGGAGCCCGAAGCGCCATTAAAGCAACACGCCGCCAGAACCAAATCGCGCACCAGACATGAGAGTCAGCTCGTTTCCGCGCGAGCAACACACGAGCCAAGAAAACAAAAACAAAAAAGTAACGTCCCGCGGGAGACGCCGCCGAGGAGCGCGGAAAGACCCGAGGCCGCCCCCAAAGCGAGGAATTCGGCACAACGCGGGGCGGCCCGCCAAGCTTCTTGGTAAAAAAAAAGAGCCCATCATTCTTTCGTTATTATTTTAATTCCCAAAAAGTTCCCGGTCAAAGCAGTTGGGAGAAAAAGAGGAGAAGGGAGGGACGCGACATACACTCGAACTTCCGTGACGAAGCTTCTTCCTAATGACAAACTTAGCCAGAAAGAGAAAGCACACAAGAGGAGGCGAGGAAAGAGAGAAAAGGTTTGCGCAGTCCGGGAATCGAACCCGGGCCTCCCGCGTGGCAGGCGAGAATTCTACCACTAGACCAACTGCGCTTGTCGGCGTCGGCGAATGACACCCATTTCATAGTAAGTTGTAGAAAAAGAAACCCTGTGAAAATTTTCTCCTCCACTGTTGTGGATATGGGTGTCTAGAGGATCGGTCGGGCATGGCCGCTTAGCTCAATGGCAGAGCGCCGTCCTAGTAAGACGGAGGTCGGGGGTTCGATCCCCCCAGTGGCCTCGCTTTTCCCGACACCCAAGAATGTGCGCGCAGTTTTCCGGCGGCGGGCCGAATGCATTTGCCCCGGACCTGCTGCAGACGACGCGGCGCCCAGGAAAAAAAAAAAAAAAAAACACGACCGCCGGCGGCAGCGACAACCAATAACATTTTTCTTTCATATCGCGAAACAACGTCTGGGGCGCAGGCTTGCCTGCATTTCCGGGGTTCTGGGCGCTCACGCCCGCGGATGAACGCGGCCTCGCTAGCGTCTTTGTGGGACCGCTCGGCCCTCCAGGAACTCAACCAACGCAGATACGGGCATGTTCCCGCACTGCGGCCCTGTGCCGCGCCGCGTCGGTTCCGTTTAGCGCCAAGCAATGACAAAATTAAGAGGGCGGTCTGGCGAGGCACCCGCCCAGCGCTTCAAGCTGCCTTGCGAGGCAAGTTTGCTTTTTTCTACAGCGAAGACGACGACGCTGTACAAGGCAGATCAGAGAAAACAGAAATGAAAAATGGTTTGTCCACACAATATCCCATCCGCGATGGGTGTCAAATTTTCCCCGAAGGAGAACTGGATATAGTATTGCACTTGTGAACAATCACCTGAGGATCTTGCGTTCACACCTCCCTGCGCAAAGCTTGCGGAGACTTCCGCGACTTCATCTAAAACTACTCCTTTCATTCTTAAAAGAAAAAAACACTATGTCTCCAATCTAATGATAAAAAAAGCGGCAGTGGTGGTTGCCTTAACGCAATTGTCGGGTCCGTTCGTTTTCCCAGGCGAGGGACATGAGTTCAAAACCTGAGGGTCTTATGTTTTTGTTTTCTCTTCTTCGAAACCAAACGCTGTCCTTTAAACGAAATGTGAACGACACAAAAAAAACATTTTGCAACGACCGAAATAAAGAATCAACGGCGATGGAGCCGCCGCGGCTCCTTCGGCACGCCGCGTTTTTTCACGGCCGGGAAGGTGGTGCGAACGCGAGTCCGTCGCCAACAACCTCCGGCGCACGACCGCAAAGAGCCGGCCTCCGTCGCCGCAGCCCTCTCGCAGGGGCCCCCGCGGCTCCTCCGCTTCTTCGGCGCCGCCCGCGCGGCACGCACAACGACGGCCCCAATTTCTGCGACAGCGGTGCCCCCGCCCTGCCGCGACGCGGAAACGCGTCTGCGACGGAACCGGCCCCTCCCCCTCCCCTCCTCGCGCGCCCAGGCACCCCCCGCCGCCGCGCCAAACAGACCCCGCCGCGGCGATGCCGCCTCGCGGCCGGGAACTTCGGCCGCCGCCTTGGCACGCAACCGGCACCGCGCAGTCAGACGCGCCCGCAGCCGCAGAAAAAACAACGACGTGCTCGCGGGAGTGAGAGAGGGGGGCGCGGGAGAGAGAGGCGGAGGCGGCCGCCGCGAGTGGCGCCGCCAGCAGCCGGCACCGGCGGGAAGGGGCGCCCACGCCGCAAACCGCCGCAGCGTCACTCTTCTTCGTTGTCCTTCTGCCTCTCTGCGTCTGTGTGGGAGGAGCGGGGGC